ATAAATAAAGCCCATTAGGTTTGTAGGCTATCATTGTTTCCAATCACCATAAATTTAAATATTTCCTATTCATGTTTCCAAACACTTAACTTTTTGTACTTCAGCTTTAATAGTATAGATGGAATGCAGATTTTAATACGGTTATTAAGATATCTCTATAATATTATTTGAGAAGTCAATTTCCTATGTGTCGCGCTCACGTTAACTCTCGCGATAGTTGATTACATAGATACCCTTAATGAATTGTTAGATTTTAAGATTATTATTATTATTTTTTATTTAGTTTCCTTTTTACTTTTTTCCAAAAAAATATATAATAAAAAGGAAATATTTCTAAAACTGTAAAACTAATTTAAAAACGAAAATATATGTATATAATATGACCTTATTAAAAAGGAAAGTTCACAAAATAGTAATACCCCATTAATATATATTTTGAAATAACATAAAATATATATTCAAAATAATAAAAATATATATGTTCATGAATATTCAAAAATTACCAGTTACAAATTAATTTTTTTGTAGAATTTATATTTATGCATGAGACTTCAAAATATTACCATTATATTCATTTATGTAATTTTGAATCAAACACTTCAGTTTCTTATTTATTTCATTGTAAGCATAATATATATTAAGTTATACATAATTTAACTATAATATATTTACATATCTAAGACAATAACCAACCGAAATGAAAATAAGAAAATTAATCAAAGTTTTATTATAGTTAGAATAAAAATATTATAGCTGAATTCTAAAAATAGATATTATCCAATATACCAAATTGATAACCATACCGACTATTGATCCAAAAAATAAACTATTGATCCAAAAAATAATTAAACCGAAAATAATATATCCATAGTCATATGTATAATTAGAATAATCTAATATTTATTAATATAAATTATACATATAAATTTATTCAAAACTAAAACTAAATATCAATCAATTATTATTAAAATTTTACTTTTATGAATATTTATACCCGTGCATGAGCACAGAAAAATCACCTAGTAAATATAAAAAAGGCAGAGACAAAACCATAGCCTAATCTATCACTGATATGTTACAAATTTACAATAGGGTATCGGTTCGGGATTACAACGGATTAACACCCATAATAAACCAAATTAACCGGTTAAAAAGAAACCCATCCTTTGATTTGACTCCGAATCTTTGATCGGGTCAACGCCGGTTAAACGGATATTTAAATTTCTCCGTAATCTCAGCCATACAAACTCTCTTCACCTAGCTTATTCAAGAGAGATCATCACGAACCGGAGAAGGTGACGGCGTATAAAACGGCGGCGAAGCACAAGGAGTAGAAAACGGCGTCATTCCATCGTGATTATAGTCCTCAACCTCGTCGTCAATTCTATCAAAATCTTCTTCAAGTTGGTTATCCTCCACATGATCATCCACTGATACGCTTCCACGTGGCTCTACCTCAGCATTTCGATGATCACTCTCGCTGGTGGAGTCTTCAGCTATGGTATACAGAGTCTCGGAAGGACCGGAGAGTAGATTCTCTCCCGTGGTTGACCACTTTGGCGCCACGTCATCCACCGGCGTTGCGGCTGCGGGAAGCGGCGGCGCGGTGGCGGAGCCTACGCGGAACTGTTTGTTTTCGACACAGAAGAGGAAGAAGTAAAGAAGCTCTTTCGACGGAGGTGGTGTCGCCGTCGGATCACCGCCGCGAGAGGAAAACCCGTCGAGTTCTGTTCCGGTGATACTCCGACGTCGAAACCTGCGTTTCCACCAAAGAACGTAGGCGAGCTGGACAGTGACTGCGGTTAGACAAAACGCGAATACCACGACGAGGATGGTTGCGGTTAGGCTAAGACCCATTTGGAGATTGCGTGACAGAACAAAACTGACGTAGTTTCTCTGTGTTGTAATTATGGATATGTGTGTGTGTTTAGTAGAGATAAGAACAGAAACTCGAGAAAGTAGTTGAAGTGTCACTGTTGGAAAGGAGTTGCCGAGTAGGTTCCTGTTAGAAAGATCATTAATAGTCAAACCATTTAGATTTCTACATTTCTGTAGTTTTTTTTTTAATTTTCTTTAAATAAACGAATAGGGACATAGACCTTGAGAAAATGATGCTTGACTCGTGAATTATAAGTGAGAGCATCACGTTCAATGGCTGTTTCTCTAACAATAAGAGGTTTGTGTCATTGGAATATGAAAGAGCTAAATGATCGATCATAAAACCAACATCATGTTGAAAGGCCCATTTATACGGGTTAAGATTACATCAGTTTTTTTTAATTTCATGTACATATATAGCCCGTTGAACAAAATACATATATGGCCCAATGATATTCGTTTATTGTTGGGCTCAACGATGCACCACAGTGTATGTGTAGGATGCATGTGTTTTTTTTTTCTTTTTGAAACACTGGAAGGATGCACATAGGCCTCGGCAAAAAACCGAAACCAAAAAATCGAACTGGAACCGAACCGAAATTTCTGAAATCGTAACCGAACTGAAACCTTTAAATATCCGAAATATTCTTATATTTATATATCTGAAATAACCGAACCGAACCGGAACCAAACTGAGAACTGAACGGGTATCCAAATATATAATAATATTAATTTATATACATATAACATAACCAAATATATGATTTTAATTCAAAAATCTATTAGAAGTATTCAAAAATAGTTGAAGATAACTAAATAATTATAAAGTAACCAACTATCTAAAGTATACGGATAATTTTATCCACATATCCAAAGTAATCCAAAATTTCTGAAGTTTGTATCTAAATCGTTCTAATTATTTGATATTTTATCTTAAATACCTTATAATATACCCGAATTACCCCAATCGAAACTAAATGAGAACCAAAAATTTTAGGTATTTTCTGATTTCTAGTTTTACTATCCGAACCGAACCGAATCGAAACTATCTGAACCGAAAATAGGTCAAGTAGTAAATGAATCCTCTAATCCCCTATCCGAACTACCCGAAAATAGGTCAAGTAGTAAATGAATCCTCTAACCCCCTATCCGAACTACCCGAAAATAGGTCAAGTAGTAAATGAATCCTCTAACCCCCTATCCGAACTACCCGAAACCTGAAATACCCGAATTAAACCGATACCGAAACATCCAGGCCTAGATGCACATGTGTTGGTTACATTCGAAACTTTTGTAGTACAAAATTATCAATGACCTCTTATTTAAACTACTAGACTAAAGAAGTTATACAATGACATTTCATTCCACAATGACACTTCAACTGCACTCTTTCGATTCATGTGTTGGCTGCATTCTTATAAATCACTTGTTCGGCTCAAGGATGTACCACACAATGAATGTGTTGGATTCATGTGTGCTTACATTCGAATAAATGACTTGTACGCCCTCTTTTTCTTACCTAACTGAGAAAAAAAGCTAGCACGAAGAGAAAAGGTTAATGTGTTTTTATTACTTTCTTAAAGATATCAAGGGAATTACGTTGAGATCAAAGTTAAGGTCTCTAAATGACTAAATGCCCATCACAAGAGTCTCAAAAGCTTAAAAATCCAAAAGCAGAGAGATAGAATTTAGCTTTTTACTCTCTTTTTTCTCTTCTGCTTTAAAAGGCTCACCCACTTTCTGCAATTCTTGTAATTAAATTAATCATATACTTTTCAAAAATCATGCTTTATATTCCTTCCTGCTTTTGAGGATAAACTTTAGATTCCATGCATGAATTTATGGACATATTATACGCATACATGTCAAAAATGTAAAATGCAGTTATAATAATTTGGATATCTTTGTGTGTACACATGGGTGTTTCCTTCAGGTGATGTAGTTCGTATAATTATAAAATGTTATCAACTACACATTTACCGACAGTGGGTAGTGTATCAGTTTTTCTTTGGAATATAGATGGAGTGGGATAGGTAAATACAAAAGCTTTGCTGCATCATAACTGATATTATTACTTTGGATTTTTTTTTTTTAAAAGAAGGTCAAATGGTAGTGCATGTCTATGAATCAACACTTATTAAAGTTGAATTGTTTGTAAGTCATGTGTGGAAGGTAGAAATTTAATTGGGTAAAATTAAGAACCATTGATTTTGTCGAACTGTATACCTAATATATAGAGTAATATATGTATGTATATATATATAGCAAACTAATGAGTGTTGGTAACATGAAAAATACTATGTAGGTTAAAAAGTTATACTAAAAATGGTCTACAACCCGATATCCATTCACATACATGATGATTTTTAGTAAATCGATCTACATTTATAAGGAAAGCAGTTGTCATTTATAATGAAATGCTTATATATTTGATTATTTTACGTATAGGCAATTTTCTATTTTTATGTTGTTATAAGAATAAACATCCATATTTATCGATCAACTTCTGAAAACTTGTATCGGATATGGAAAAATATCCACGTGCATCCGATCATGCGGAGATACAATATCCACACATACAAGCATACAACTCGTTTGGGGTATACAAACGATGCATGAACTTTTTTTAAAAGAGTATCCGTTCTTTTTCCACCTTACGCAACACATCCAAGCGTAAAAAGCTTACCTTATTTTTCAAGTGTGAAAGGAGATTCATTCACAAAGTGTTCCATATATATTATAATCCCCGGTCCAAGGGATGTACAATAATACCCAAAAATCCTGAGGTTTAAAAGAAAACTAAACTCGGAAAGGCAAAAGAGAAATAAAGAAAAGCAGTTGGAGATTCTAATTATAAGGTGGTGGCTTCTTCCTTTTCTCTCGGGAAAAATGAAAAGAAAAGATGAAACGAAACAGAGTGGCAATAAAGTTTGTGGAGATCTATAATATCAATCAAGCTGTCTTGGTTGTTAAAGGAAACAATGACTAGTTTTGTATGTTTAGATAGATTATACGGCTTATTTAATCCTGGTTTGCTTAGTTTATATTCCATCTGTTTCATATTATGTTTCATATTAGTTGATCTTTCCATTGAATGTACAATTTATAAAAAAAAACTCGCAAAACTCCCCCCTATACTTGAGTAAAATAATTAGTTTTAAAGACAATAAACAAAACTGATTCGACTTAGCAGTTGGCATTGTAAAAGATAACGGGTACAAAAAATATTCTACAAGAAAATAATAATGATATATGTTAAATTAGATGCGCTTTTAACTTAAAATCAATTAATAATAATAAAAGATTTTTTTCTAATTACCGATGTGAGATACTTTGTGTCTAATACATCACCTTCAGATGATAGTTTTCTGAAAATCAATCATAAAATGTTCGAGCAAAAAATCGACAAGCCATCTTTGGGTCAGATAGATAGGATCAGATTGGACTTTATAAATCAAGGATTTAATACCATGTTAAACTAGATAAGCTTCTAATCTAAAACTATAGCATCAGTTATTACGAAATGGATGAAGCTAAAGAACTATCATAGTTAACGACAAAACTTTCGTAAAAGGAGAATGAGAATAATATGCTTTATGAGAAATGTAAAAATGTGTATTAAGTAATTAGTATAATTTGCATATTTGCATGTTCTTTCTTCTAGCTTAAGTCTACCTTTTTTTTGGCCGACCTGATTTTTTAGAATTATCAAAGATCCGAGCTCTGGACTAAGCACAAGTTATTCCAAGAATTTCCTAAGGCAATCGAATGAACATGAAAGAGGAAAATTTGTATGTAACTAAAGATTGACATGCATGCACGATGCTGCCAAATAAATGAAACTTAGATCACTAAACTCAACATCTATGACATCTAGAACTAGCAGAACGATACAAAACTTTAAAGTGACATATTATATGATGGTAGTAGGCTAGTAGCTAAATAAGCTCTTCTCTTAGGCTAGACTTTTTTTTTTGTCCAGCTACAATCTATTTTATTAAAGTTGTAGTACTCTTTATTTTTGTTTGGAAACTGATATAGTAGTAATAAAAATTTTAAAGTTGTTTGGCTATCTGAACACCTTAAACGTGGATATCTATATATTGCTTACTTACATATTTATCTTATTTTTCAATCTAACAAATCAATAGCTAAACCATTAAATATGATTTCCCAAATCTTAAAAAATATCTAATATTGATTACTCTATAATCTTGCTTAGCAAGATCTTCTTATACCGCCAGATATCTCATTAATTTTCCAAACGAGGTTCCATATATTGCACACAAAATTTTAACAATATCAGCCAAAGAATAACGTATATTACGGTATATTCTCACCATAAATACAACTTACCATACCCTTTTCATCCATCTATATATACAGAGTGTAGAATTGGAGTTTTAATGTATATTCGCACAAAATTAAACAGTTTTTAAAATAATAAAAATTTAAAACAATAAAAGAAATATTCAGTTTTATTTGTTCTTGACTAAATTAAAAATAACAACAGTTTTAAAGATAATAACAATTTACATTTCAAATAATTTAATACTCAAATATTTTTTTTTATCTAGAGTATTTTACATTATTCATTATCATAAAGACACAAAATACTTGAATAGCTTTAACTAAAATATTAAAATTTTGTTTTCGTAACTGGATATTTACCCCGATTAATCTAAAATTAACCCTAGAAATCGTAACCAAACCGCTATCATATTGGAACCAAAAATTATCTGATATTAGGCGGTTATTATAATTGTTACCAAACCCAGCTCAAACCAAAAGAATCGAACAGAACACAAATCAATTTATATAGATAACTGAACAGATCTTATATCTATAGAACTAAAAAAAACTACAAACATAAGGAATTCAACAAAAATTGAACCCAAAATCAAACCCCAGTCCTATTACATTCAATACGATCATAGTTTTTAAATACGGTAATAACCGATGACTTATGAATATATTATGCTTTCCTAAATTAAGTTAAACCCGCGCCGGTGCGCGGGTCAAGATCTAGTAGATATTATACCACTTTGCTGGTGAAGCATAATGTTTTGAAACTAATTTCAAAACCCTAGATCCCTTATTCGTTACATGAAATTTACATGCATATAATATATATTGATGTTAACAGGGAAACCATTTGTTTAGAAGAAAAAGGGAAAATACAAAGAACGGAATGATAAAACTGAAACTATCCATGTAAAGTTCCTAAGACAGAAGAAAATCTACAACTACACGTTTAACCCAAAGTATTGTCCCAATGAAAGAGAAAGTACTCCTAAGGAAAACAAATAACGCATGATGTAATCGAAAAGATCATATTCATAAACTGAGCCATGTTACATTTACATGCACATATATATGCATGGTGCTACGTTGATGAACACTTGAAATGAAACCGTCCATCCACAGCTTCGAGTAAGCCAATCTCATCACATGACTCTTTTTCACAAACGCCATCGTCAAGAGAGAGGTTAAGATCAAGTGCGACGCAAGTCACAACGTTCTTATCCTCAGATTGATCTGAACCGTCTGACGACTTCTGATTAACCTGAGGAGAACAAGCTCTTGATCTTGAGCTAAATCTTTCACAGCTCAAGATCACAATCGCATCTCTAAGCGAAGCTTCTTCACCACTCGAGTTACAAACTCTTCCTCTCTCAATGGCTCTCTTGAAACCCATTAAAGACATATAATCAGCTTGCTCTATATCTTCCACTAAGAACACTCTTCTTGGATCAAACGAAACAGCTTCAGAGAATCTCTCAATGTAACTCCAGTTCTGCTCATCTCTAGACCTCTTGTTCCTCGAATCTCTCGATGAGAAACTACTCAAACAGATGGAGACAAAGCTCTCTTGTGATCCGAACACGAGTTTAGCTAACTCTCTAGCGATCTTCTCTTTAGCCTCTACATCAAGACCTTGAAAGAACATCCATGTCTCTTCTTTTATATCATCTTTTCCATTGATATTTCTTCTACTCGATCCCGACCTACATTTCAAGACTGTTTTAGCTATCTCCGAGATTAAATCCTTTTGCCATGGTACCTTGGTATCCAAGGCATCACATAGTGTTGCCAGGTTTTCAGCATTCATCTCTTTAAACCTAGAAGAGACATGTTCAACCTCCATTCCATCGCTCGAAGAAGCTGCTGAGTTAGGATTAGAAGAGAAGAGCTCTATTGTTTGCTCGCTGTCATGTTTTGTTTGCTCGCTGTCATGTTCTGGAATGAAAACTCTTAATTGGGATGCACCAGAGGTCACAGAATGATGATGAAGATACTTGTTTGTCTCTATCACGGGCCAATCACCGTTGGTTTTAATGGAACCAGAAGGGGAAGAGAGTGTTAGTGTTTTTAGAGATGGTCTCTTGTGGACTGAATCACAGATTGTGTTCCACTTAACCACAAGTTCTTTTATAGAATCTGAATCCTGCCAAGTCCAAGAATCAAACATAAGACTATTTAAAAAAATGACATAAATGAGTTGGAAATGAGAAATGTGGGTTTTATTTGGTTGTTATGCAACTCACATTGTGACTACTTTGATTCTCCTTCTTGTACTGCTGAAGCCAAGCCGGTAAAGCTGAATTGATTACATTGCTATTGCTGCATTGCAAGAACCTAGCTTCTGCTTCAAATTTGGTAGAACATTCCTCACAGAAACTGAGCTGCTCCTCTAATGGATGCAGCTGGAGAGGTGTGTTCCCTAACTTCTTGACTTCAACCTCACTGGTTTGAAAAACAAAATGGTGATTAGCTAAGGAGTGTTAAATTTGATTTAATTTTTAACTTAAAACTGAAATGAAGTGAAACTTTTTCAATCTTGTTTAGTATTTTCTCACAAGAAAGCACTTAAAAGTAATATAAAAAGAGAAGATAATATTAGAAAGTTGAAGAGGATGCACGTTGTTACACCGTTCTTTTAGATGATCACCAAATAAAGCAAAAACACTATAGGTGAAATTGTCCTTTTCGAAAAAAGAGACAAAATAGTTATAAAATATCCAAGAAAACTAAAAAAAAAAAAAATCAAATAGTTAGAACATATCTAACAAGACTTTTACCTCTCGGAGACAAGACTCAAGCGGAGGCTACTACTAGTTGCTGGAATAGTGAGAGAAGTAAGACACCAAAGAGACTCAAGCGAGGGTTGACCAAACTTGCATCTCACGTAAGTCTCTGAAGTTGCAAGACCCATTAACCAAAACCTTCCATGATCTCCCATGACCAATCCACGAGCTAACTTACCAATCTCCATTATCATATGCTCCACAACACAGTAGTTGTTGTTACTATTGTTATAAACTGAAGTATTTTTCGTTCTAGACTCTACGAACCAGTTTAGATCTCCTAGATTTAGAATCACCCCTTTCCCTACACAGCTTCTGACAAGTGTCTCCAACTCCTCTAGCTTACGCTCCACATCAGATCTACTAGGTTGTCCAAACGAGGAGAACGATAGTGTTATAAACTTCACGTCTTTTAAAGCTTCGGGCACGTCTTTTTTGTCAACTTTCTCCATCACCGTTCTCACAACTTTGTCAACAGTTGCTAAACACTCTCCAACGATCACGAAGTTCTTCCTCTTTTTGTCGACTAGACTCTCTATAACGTTCATGACATCCTCGTCCCTGACAGGAGTTAACGACTTTAATGCTTCTTTGGAGGAGGTTGTTTTCGAGCAAGTCTCTGAAGAGACAGCTTGTTCGACTTTGCTTTTCACTTGAGGACTCGAGAAACCAGCTTCTCTCATAACCCTACTCACGCTAGGATCATCTAGGATGGATATAATCAGCTGCTCAACTTCTATACTGACCGCTAAAACCGGTTGCTGCTGGCTCTCTATGGATCCACGTCGCTGGTGAGCCTGCGCGCGTTTGAAAGCTGCACCGAGAGCGTTGGAGATAGAAGGGAAAGGGGAAGTTTGAACTCCTAACATGGGACTGCCCGTGGAGGTCGGGAGGCGGTTTAGTGCCACGTTGAAGCAGAGCTCTAGGGCTCTGCACTGAAGAGGGTGCGTGTGGGATTGGAGACAAGCTGTTCTGAGTAAACCAGTGGGAGCGGAGAGCATGGTGCTAGCCACGTGGAGAGGTGTGACCTGAGCATGTCCTCTCCTTCTAGCCAACCCCATGGCTTGTTTAACCAAGTTTGCAGCCTCAGGCGTGAGGGCTTGCTCCACCGTGCAGCCTCCGGCTCTCATGGTGACAAAAACACCCTAAAGGAAAACACAAGGTAGGGGTAGTACTTAGAAGAGAGAGTTCTACAGTAAAGGCTTCACGGGACTTGGGTTCATAGATAACAAAAGCACTTAAAAAAAAGAAAGATATATTCACTGTTTTTTATGGAAGGTTTGGCTGAGCAGAGTAAGAAAAGAGAGGGAGAGATCAAGGGAAGAGGTGAAAAGAAAAGGGTCTTGGTCTTCAAATATATGAGGAAGAAGGAGGAAACGTGTATGCTTTTCTTGTGAGAGAGGCAAAATTTGGGGTGTTTTTTAGGGTCCAAAGTGAATTTTGTAGTAGAAAGTGGAATGCATGTGATGACAAAGCAGTATCAAAAGGAAAAGGTAACTCAGCTTTGCCCTTATATTCTTTTCTTTCTCAAATTCCACCAAAAAGATGTAATGGGTACTGCAGCTAAGTGGGTCTCTTCCTTTTCTGCAAAGTGTATCACTTATTTATAAAAGATCCTAATTAAAGAATAAGTGGGTACTGCAGCTAAAATGCAATTCATTCTTCACTTATATAATATATAATTAAAGAATAAATAATAGCCTCAATAACATTTAGAAATACATATGGGATATAATCAGTCTCTCCTTTTGGTACCTTGGAGCTACTAGCTAGAAGCCTAGGATCACATCACATGTAAGCAACAACATAGGAGCAACAAAAACATAGGAAGGAACCGAGTTTTGTCTTTCAAACTAATATATGTTTTAGCCAACTATGTCTCAATAATCATGGTTTTTTTCCCTAAGAATATTTCTGCTCAAACAAACATAGTTTATTTAGTGGTAACATGTAATCAGTAAGATTAAGTGTATGAACAGTTTCTACCATCTCATTTTCACGTAATAAATATGAAGTACCAAATTCTGTTCCAACTTCCAAACTCTTAACCAGTTTATGAGTTTCCAACCTTTCAAAAATTTTGTAAGAAGGAATAATGTTCAAGAAAATGTTTACTCAACCAACTACACATATGGACTGATATTGAAAATTAGTTTCTGGATGTTATTATACAATCCTAACTCTTAGGGGCAAGAAACGCAGAACAAAGAAGGATCACTCTTTGAAGAATATTATATTTATGTATGGTATTTACAATCTCAGACAACTAAAATATCAAAAACATTAAAAAGCAAACCAAACCATCTGACCCATCACAGACATCATATATATATGCATCACTCGCTTTCGTTACTTTCGTAAAAGTATGTAGCTTTTGGACCATATATTCCATTTTTTTTTGTCACAAGGACCATATATTCCATTTTAAAAACGAGAGGCAAGAAGAAACGAAGGTGGTTTGAACAAGAAAAAATACTAAAAGAAAGCGCACAAGCCAGTCCCCTTGAACCCTGGTGGGGGTAACCTTTGATTGTATATGCTATCAACAGGAACACAAATCAAAATAAAAGAACTTAACCTATTCAAGAAGGAAACAAGATATATTTCTTCATAGAAACAAAACAGTGCATTCAACTAGAGGTCTTAGTTCAACTGACAAAGAACATGACCATTGTCAGAAGTTCCAGTTCGAGGACCGACAGGAAGAAACTAATATTATATTACATGTTGTAATTTCAGGTCTGAGGTTATTACGGATTTTAGCATGGAACCTCCTGGTATGAAAAAAAATTGTGCATTCAGTGATTATATAATTGCAACATAACAGAAGGAAAGTTCGATTCTCGTACCACTAACCAACATGACGACCCATGCATATTAATATCTTAACTTGATACTAGATGTACGTATACGCACAAAAAAAAAAACTAAAACATATGCAGATGCCTATCAAATCATTCAAGAATCCATTATCAAGGAAACACAAATTCATTTACTATTCAAGGAAGCTCCACTTTCTAAACAGTGATGATATAAATCAATGAACAAAGAGAAACGATTCCGCGTATGGATTTATTCAAACATGAGATCATTGCAGTAATCGGTACAAGGAGCTTTACCTATTATACTTCTACTTTGATGAAAACATCTCTCTCACACATGAAGCATGCCACTGCATAGAAAGAAGAGAAAAATGCACCACCATTCAACTTGCCTAGGAATCTTCAATAAGATTTATACACTTTGGTAAGAGAATCATATAAGCTATATTCCCACTATAGATATGTATGTCCTAAAAGACTAATGAAATAGTAAATAAATTTATCTTTTCTTATGATTAAAATTGAAGAATAAGTTTGATACGATATCCTCACAAGAAACAAGAAATCTTCCTTTCATTCCCCAATCATCTTTTCTACAGCTTTTTACGTGTTTTTATGTAAGCATTCACCTGAAAGCCACTATTCACTGCAACAAGTACCATTACACTCACTTCCTCTGGCCAATGCTTGTACAAAAGAAGCTAAAGTATCATTTACCCATGCATATGTGTATAAATTCAAAATGAGGAAACACACAACTATGTTTTGCCGTAAAACAAAGAGAGAAATGATCCATCAATCATTATCCATGAAAAAAGCATGTGAACGTTTTGAAATCAAACACGATTCTTGTTGTTTTTTAGATGAAAATAATATAAGTACGCTTAAGGGTTTTACAAGAGCAAGCAGAAGAAGAATGTAACGAACGAAGGCCCCTATATACTTCCTTAGTTTTTATGAGATGCCATTTTAGGATTATATACACAAATTAAGAAAATATTTATTTTTATATTTTTTTAAAAAAACATCATTAATTATTCTTCTAACCATTTGATTACAAATAATATAGACTGTGGAATATAAAAGATCATATAAAATAAAAAGTTATAAATTATACAATGGAAACTGAAATACCCTAATTTGAAACAAAAAGAATTCTCTAAAACGTTATGTATTAAGAAACATAAAGAATATATCATATTTTGCTTATAGAATTTTCTCTTTTATCAAGTAAACAAAAACAGAGCTTTGAGGTATTATAAATATAAAGATAAAAGTTTATAATTTATTTATTCAAACAACTAATAAAATAATATTAAAGGATAGTTGGTCTCAGTTAGCTTTATTTGTAGTATTTTAGTTTTTTTCTTTTTATTGATTCATGCCTAAAACTTAAAAATTTATATGTATTGTGGAATATAATCATATATGAGGAGACGGTATTATCTGGATGTTAATAGTAAGTTAGTAACATGACTATATATATTTTAAAGTTGTTTACGTATTATACACAGACTATTACCATGGAAGAACATCATTTCATTTCCAAAGACCCTTTAATTTGTTCAAATTTTCGGGATTTCATGACGTTTCAATTTTATGCAGACGCTGATGAATGCTTAGTTACGAAGGACTTGTGAGACCAAATAGATAAGTTGTGAGAATAAACACAAACTCATCAACTGTTTCTTTCAAGTTTAAGACAGACAAAAGGAAGGAAAGATCCAATGGAAGACCATAATCATTTGAATGCAAAAGTGTTTCTGACTGAAGAGAGCAAACGAATATAGAGATAGTTACTTCAGGCACACCCAATCAATTACTTTCTTCTCTAATAAAAAAAAATAGCAAATTTTGTTTGCTCTAACTAAAAGATTCCAACTCTACAACCCCAAAATAAAATCTATTTGCATAAACCAGTCCTTTCGAGAAAGTGTATGACCACAACAGTCAAAATGTGAATGCTTTAACAAGGATCAGACCCCATATGATACTAAAGCACTTGCATTTACGAGAAGAGCAGAATGTGAAATCAAGCCGTCTCTCTAGCCCACTTTCTAATGATTTAGCCAATGTAACCATCAACTTTTGATAAGTTTGGCCTTATACAAAACAACATAGAATATTTTGAATTCAGATTTTAAAAACTACTTACTGAGTAATTTGCTTGTTTTACGTTAAATTAAAACATGATTGTAGTTGTAGAGAACAACAAAAGACACAAACTTAGCTTTCGCGTTTATAAGGGAAGAAAAAAGAAAGATTTAGACTCAAAAGACATACAAAGTTGAGACGAAATCATTTAAATACAAAAGCATTTTGAACGAAAGAAAGGAGAGGAATATTGATAGTTTCTTCTGGCATACCCAATCAAACTAATTTTGTTTGCCCCAACAAAAACATTTAACCTCAGTCACGAAAATTGTTTGTGTAAACCAATCCTTTCAAGTAAATGGTGACCAGGATAGTCAAAATGTGAATATGCTTTAGCAGGACCAGACGCCAGATGATTCTAAAGCACCAAGGTTTGCGAGAAAATACATCCTAATTTCGATCGGTCTCTCTATACGGCTTGATAAAGCTTTCAGTTAATGTTATATCAACTTTTCGAGAAATTAGCCGTAATACAAAATGTTTTGCATCAAAAATTAGAAGAAAAAAAATACCAAGGTATTACTTGTCTTAAGTTAGTTTGAAAAATACCAAGGTTTGATTTTAAAAGTCAAACGTGTTTTGCATGAAACTTTTACCAGTGGTTTCTATCTAATCAAACTTTTTTCCAGGAATTTTCATGGGAACCCATATAATATAGAAGAGTCTGTAGAATCTTTAAACAGTCTAAGAAATATACAGTCTTATCACCAAATCAAGTATAAATGGGATTATCTACTCAAAAGGAGTTCCTAATTTGTTTTTTTTAAATCAAGATTTCTAAGCATTCAAGATAAGCATCTTTAATTTATTCTCCTGGGTCTGACCATGTGGGAAAAAACAAATAGAAGCAGCTAAAGCAGAGAGAGAGAGAGAGAGAGAGAGAGAGAGAGAGAGAGAGAGAGAGAGAGAGAGAGAGAGAGAGA